TTCTCTTTGGATTTATTTAATTCTTGCAGTTTATCTATTGCAAGATTTGCACAATCGCGATGGAACCAATTATGGCATGTAGCGCACTGAATTTTATATGAATTTGTTTTAATTTGCTGCAAACACTTTGGATTAGCACAAACGCATACGTTTGTCGGCATTTCAACATGCGATATATCAACGAAAAAAAAAGATATTTGAGCAAACTCAACGTCATTCGAAGGAGGAAGCCTTGTACTTTTAGATTCAATGTATTAGTTGTTTCAAAAATATTAGATGGCATTACTACATAACCTCAAATATGACGAAAAACAGTGTTTTTTGCACTTTAGGTTAGGATATCTCAAAAACCCGACGTGATAGAGCAATTCTGCTGCCAGATTCGGATTCAGCGCACCTAAATCCTTCGGATACATATATTTAAGTTTCTGCTTCCAAAAGAAAGTTTGTTGGTCTGTGTTATCAGTCCACTAGAAAGCCATAAAATTTTTTATTATACTTTTTTCGTAAAACGCAATGTTTTCGAGAAAAATGTCAAAACGTAATCGAATGCATTTCGTGATTCGCCATTTTCCTCAAAAACATTGCGTTTTACGAAACAAATATTAAGAGACAAAAAATTTTCTAAATTCAAGCTAACTAATAATTTAAAAAAATAAATAAATTTGCGACCGAATTTTTCTGGTTCCAAAGGCAAGGGGGCCCACGAAAAAGTGTCTTAAGGGGTTTTCTCGCCAAAAAGCGTAGCATTGTGTGATTCCACATGTCATAAAACCCCTGTGCACCAAATTTAGTGATTCTCGNCAATTTGCCGCGATCTGATTGGTCGAGAGATGTGGCCAATTTGAATGCTACGCTCTGATTGGTCGATGGGCGTGGCCTAAAAGTGGAGTGGAGGGGGTAAAATTCACAAAAAATTTGCAATCTGAACCTTCATAAGAAAATACATGGGATTTTGGCTCCGTACGCCCCTAGCTTATCTACTAAGAAGATAAAAGTCATGAAAATTATTACATCCACTAATACGATTCAAGTGGTCGAAGAAATTTTCTCCAGACTAGGCTTACCGTAGTCGATAACGGCAGATAATGGTAGACAATTCTGTAGCCAAGAATTTAAAACATACTGCAAGGAAACTAACATAACACTCTACCATACCATACCATATTGGCCACAACAGAATGGCGAGGTGGAACGCCAAAATCGTGACATACTGAAAAGACTTAAAATTAGTCAAGCTTTAAAAACAGATTGGAAAAAGGAACTAATTAATTATTTAATGATGTATAATAGCACTCCACATACAACAACAGGAAAAACACCATCCGAATTATTTTTTCGGCGACGGTTTAGGGACAAACTACCTAGCTTACCCGGCACATCTCGTACTGCTGAGATGGTAGAGGGCGAAACTAGAGATTACGATCGATGGTCCAAAGAAAAAAGAAAATTATATGCCGATAGAAAAAGAAGAGCTGAAGAAAACACACTGGAGTGTGGAGACAAAGTGCTAGTGAAGAATATACAAGGAAAATAAACTTACCCCTACATTTGATGCTACGCCCCATACAGTAACTAGTAAGCAAGGAGGAGACATCCAAGTATCTAATGATGAGACAGGACAGGTCTATAGAAAAAATGTAGTACATTTAAAAAAAAAATAAGAGGAGAATGGCATAGCCTTCTGGAACAATCTAAGCAATAGGTATCACCCTTTGTGTCTTGCCTGTAAATTAGATAAAATTTTATTGCTATACAATATATGCTTTAGGTTTATATTTACAAGATATCTGTACTTTTATACTTACTTGAATATTATTTTATATTAATCAAGAGTTGTTGTTGACTGACGTATGTCAACCATGCAAAAGATTTGTAACATTGTTTAGCAGAAGAATAAATCTTATTTTGGTTTGCACAACGTTATTTAGTGAACCTTCGTTGTTGGGATTCAGCGGGTAGCTGTTTGTATATAATTTGGCGACCGTGACAGGACTTGTACGTTGTGCAGCTGTATTCAAACTTTTGCATCGTTTTCTCGAGTTTCGATAACGACTGCGGTTTAGAACCGGGTTTGAAAAATGGCGGATTTATTGGACAAAAAGAAAAAGAGCAGGACCGTAATACGCGGGGTCTTCACACGGGTGGCGAATGAGTTCGAGCAACTATTGACGGTGCAACCTGTGGACATTCATAGAGTTCATGTTTCGTGGGAGCTTCTGCACCCAAAATATGACGAGTTGAAGGTGATAAGTTCCGAAATATATGAATTGATGTTAGGCCAATCCAGTGAACAGGATCTCTCGGCGGAAGTTGATGCCTGTGACACGTATAGCCGTAAGTTTTCAAGTCTGCGATTGTCATATGAAAATCTGGTGAATACGCAGAAATTGGCTAGCGTTAAAGGTGATGATAGAGAAACAGAGTCATCACAGTTGTCGGCGAACAAAAATTCAAGTAGGCGTAAATTTAGATTACCCAAAATTGAATTCAAACGTTACGACGGGAATATTAAAGATTGGTTGCCGTTTTGGGCTCAATTTAAGAAAATTCATGAAGATTCCGATATTGATGAATGCGATAAAATTGAATATCTCCTTCAAGCAACAGTTGTAAAGAGTAGAGCTAGGCAACTTGTCGAAAGTTTTCCTGCCATAGCGGGTAATTACGAAAAAATCATTGACAGCATGCAGTCTCGATTTGGAAGGGAGGACCTGCAGATCGAGGTGTATGTTAGAGAACTTCTTAAGTTAATTTTAAATAATGCTAATTCGCTAATTCTCAACAAAAAATGGATTTGTGCACGTTGTACGACAAGATTGAGACACAAATTCGCGCTCTTGAAACGTTGGGTATTACATCGGATAAATGTTCTGCGATGCTGTTTCCTCTTATTGAATCGTGTTTGCAACATGAATTATTACGTGTCTGGCAGCGTTCATCACAGACAGTTAACAACAGTGCAACAACAGTAGCGGAGAGTAATTTGGACGACCGCCTTAGAAATCTTATGCTTTTCCTACAAAATGAGGTGCAAAATGAGCAGCGTATTTCTCTGGCTGCAGAGAATTTCGGCCTGGCTACCGTACAGAAGAAAAAGGAGAAAGCTTCAGGTGTGGTTCCTACCGCAATGGGACTAGTGAATTGCGACGTTGCAAAATGCATTTTTTGTGCTGGTTCACATAAGAGCAATTCGTGTTTTAAAGCTCGTAATTTTAGTTTTGAAGAAAAAAAAAGACTTTTGACTGAAAACCACGCTTGCTTTCGTTGCTTGATGCCAGGGCATTCTGCAAAAAGATGTCGTGCCCGTTTATGTTGTGTAATTTGCACAAGATCACATGCGCCACTGATATGTCCTGAATTACCACAAAAGAAGCAGGAACTTAAGGAAAAATCCGGTGATACTGAGGAGAATTGTGCTAAAGGCTCCAGCGTGCCGACTGTGAAAGATCAGACGCTAGCAAATCGCACGGACACTCACGTTTTTTTGCAGACATTAAAAATTGTGCTGCTAAGTGAAAATGGATCACGTGTTGTGCATGCTTTAATTGATAGTGGATTACAACGATCTTATATATTAAAGAGCACAGCAATACAATTAGGTTATGTGCCCAAGCGACAGGAAAATATTATACATTGTCTGTTTGGCGGCACAGAAAAGAGGACAAAGCACTATTGCTATGACGTCACCGTATGTATAGGCAGTTATTCTTTAACATTTGAGGCTCTCGATCAACTCACCATCTGCAGCAATGTTCTCCCGACTTATCATGGAGATTGGTCCCAAGAATTGCAGCATAGGCGTATTGAGGTTCCAGATATGGAAGAATCCGTCGCAATCGAATTGCTAATTGGAGCAGATGTGGCGGGGACATTATACACCGGCCATCATCAAGTATTGTCTTGTGGATTGGTAGCTTTCGAGACACAGTTGGGTTGGACTATCATGGGTAAATTAAAAGCAGAAAAGGAAGGAATCAATATAGCCCTAAGCACCTTAAGCTTATTGGTGAATGATGCGTCCATCATTGATGCTTGGAGACATGTGCCTGGTGCCTTCAACCCGTCTGATTTACCCTCACGAGGCTGCTCCCCGAAACATTTACTAGAGTCAAGATGGTGGGAGGGGCCACAATGGCTGTATGAAGAACCCGACTGTTGGCCAAGGAAAATATTGACTTGTGATGAAAATGAGATTTGTCAGGAAAAGAGGAAACTTGTTACTACGATCTTAAATGCTATGTTAGATAACTGGCATTTCACCTATTTCTTCAAGTATCCACGGACTTTGAGAATGATGGCCTGGGTCCTACGTTTCAGCCATAATTCCAGACACTGTAGTGAATATGTAGGTAAACTGACAGTTGATGAGATTAACAATGCTGAAATTTTTATATTGAAAATTATACAACAAGAGAGTTATTCTGGTGAGAAAGATAAAAGACTGTCTGGGTTAATTGCTCACCGAGATGAACATGGACTTCTTCGCATTGAGTCACGAATATCAAGAAGAGAAGACCATAGAAAGTTTAGATTTCCTATCGTATTACCATCCAAATACCCTGTAGTAGATAATTTGATTTTGGATGTACATCAGCGTGAATCGCATATAGGTCTGCAGAGCCTTTTAAGCCTATTGCGTGAAAATTATTGGGTACTGTGAAAGCGGCTATATCCAAATGTGTCACTTGTCAGAAGTACAACTGTAGACCGTTCACTGTAGAACCTCCACCACTTCCTTTGGATAGAGTCCGAAACGCGGTTGCGTTCGAAGTAATGGGCGTGGATATGGCAGGGCCCTTGTATTTAAAGACTGGTGAAAAGGCGTGGGCGTTTCGTCGTTTTGTCGCGAGACGTGGTCAACCTAAGACTATATATAGTGATAACGATACAAATTTTGTTGGGACTGAAAATGCGTAGTCGACACTTGATTGGGAGAAAATTACCGAAAAGACTTCAGTGCAACGAATTTCTTGGTTATTCAATCCACCCACTGCGCCATGGTGGGGCGGTTTTTGGGAGCGTATGGTAGTGTTATGAAACAATTGTTACGAAAAGTTCTCGGACGATCTTCCTTGAATTACGAAGACTTATTGACTGTACTTTGCGATTGTGAATCCATAATAAACACGAGACCGCTCACTTACATATCTAATGATCCAAGTGACTTAGTTTCTCTTACTCCATCGATGTTTCTCCGAGACCTAGTGGAGAGTGGTTTACCAGATTACGACGAAGTTGACAGAGCTTCTCTTACCAAACGACTTCGCTACAAACAACAACTTCGACATGATTTGAGATTGAGGTTCAGAAATAAGTATTTCGGTCAGTTGCACCTTCATTATACTGGAAGGGATTGTCGTCCAATCACCTTAGGTGAGGTGGTTTTGGTGGGAGATGACAATAGGAAAAGATTGGACTGGCCATTAGGACGTGTTGTTAAACTCTTACCTGGCAAGGATGGGAAGATTAGGCTAGTTAGATTGCATACTGCTAGAGGACAAATCTTGCGACCTACGCACCGTCTCTATCCTCTGGAATGTTTAGGCTCGTTTGAAGAAGGTGCTTCCGGGGAAGCCCAGTCTACCATCCAGCAAGATGTCAGACCGCAGAGTCCAGATGGTGGCTGTAGTGATGGTGAAACTGAAGGAGTGTCTTTTCATAGCAAAGTACCTGCAAAACTAACGCGTAGTGGTCGAGTGACGCGACCTAAGCGATTTTTGTAGATTTAATAGTTTATGTTTTATTTTATCTGTTATCAGGTTCATATCTATGATGGTACCGATATCTTAGTTTAATGAGTCACATTTGTTTATGTAAAAAAATGCTCCTCAGGTGGGAGAATGTCAAGATATCTGTACTTTTATACTTACTTGAATACTATTTTATATTAATCAAGAGTTGTTGTTGACTGACGTATGTTAACCATGCAAAAGATTTGTAACATTGTTTAGCAGAAGAATAAATCTTATTTTGGTTTGCACAACGTTATTTAGTGAACCTTCGTTGTTGGGATTCAGCGGGTAGCTGTTTGTACCAACGCGAGTGAGTTTGACAATATTTATAATGTTGTTATTATTCGGGGTTATATTATAGGTACTGTAATAATATATGTATAAGTAATTATTATTATACGGTATTGTTTAATAAATTTATTTTGTCCATGTAATACTTTTAGAATGTCGGAAAAACATAGAGATGTAGTATACAAATAGAATGTTCACATAATAGGTAATATTGAGAAACCCTGTAATGTACAAAAAGTATGTTTATGTAATCTGTAACGTTAAGATATGTTTCGAGAATAATGATTAAGTTAGTTGGTATTAGACGGTTGTACAAGATACACCAATAAAGTGACTGTTTATTGTTTCGAGTTTAATTTCACAAAGTGAAGGATATTACACCTGTTATTTGCGCTCTACGTTGTATTTGTTTCATGTTTCATAACCTAAAAGAACTCTTTTAGTTGTATGTGTTTTTGTCTATTGAGACGAGTATTTATAATAATTCTGCATTATTATTATTATTAAATAATATGTCGGTGAAATACATTCTCAAAGTTCGCCCCTAAAGTCAGTTTTTTCTAAATATATGGGGTTCTAATCAATATTTTGAAATAAAACAACATGCAAAATTATTTCTTATATAAAAAAAAACAGATATGTTGCAACCCTTAATTTTTATTTCAAAAAAACTATATTTTTCAAACATTTTTATATATATAAAAAATTCATATTTGTTAAAAAAATTAAAAATATAACTTATGTAAACAAATTGGTAAAATTAAGTTCCCGAACAACCCCCTAGTGAGCGAAAAATGTCTACGATTAGAATTAACATTACAAAATAAAAAGTTTTTACTTTTTCTATAATCATACGAATAATTTGTTCTATTAGCCGCAAACAGATTTAAACGGATGCAAACTACCCCTCATGTTCACCCCCAAAAACAGTATTTCTGTAACAGCTCGGGTTCTAATCAATATTTTGGAATGAAATTACTTCTTATAAAAAAAAATAGATATTTCACTAATAATTTTTTCTATTGGTCTAAAACGGGTTTAAACTGATGCAAACTACCCCTGATGTTCATCCCTCAAAAACGGGTTCGGTAATTTGCATTTTGTTTCATTCCAAAATATTTATTAGTACCCGAAATATCACGGATATACTGTTTTTGGGGGTGAACATGAGGGGTAATTTGCATCGGTTTAAATCTGTTTGCGGCTAATAGAACAAATTATTCGTATGATTAGAGAAAAAATAAAAACTTTATTTTGCATTGTTAATTTTAATCGTACAGACATTTTTAGCACATTTTTAGAGGGTTGTTCTCCCCTTAAAAAGAGAACTTAATTTTATCAATTTATTTACATAAATCATATTTTTTACTTTCTTTTAACAAATATGAATTTTTTTATATATAAAAAATGTTTGAAAAATATAGTTTTTCTGAAATAAAAAATAAAGGTAGCAACTTCCAAACACGGAATCTAATGTGAAACCTTTGTTTTTTTTTTATAGGAACAATTTCCATTTTTTTTTCATTCCAAAATATTGATTAGAACCCCAGATATTTAGAAAAAACTGTTTTGGGGGACGAACAATAAGGATGTATTTCACCCCCTAAATATGTTTTTCCGCCGATAAAAAAATGTCATTTAATTTTTTATGTTCTACAACCGAGTCTACAAAATACAGTGTTTTCGAAAAGTAACGAATAAATTAATTATTTTTTAAATTGAGAAGTTTTCGAAAAAATCCCCTGGCACGTCGATTTTATTTTTAAAAAAGGTACTTTTTGACATACTACCCATATTTGTGACGTCATCGTTGTTCGAGATATGACGTCATCGACAATTTTTTTAAATAGCAACCCCCTATTTTGACCATGCCATTTGAAAGAGCGTGTCATACACAGATCATGAAAAATTATGGTGTTACATAACAAAAATTTCAAGAAAATAATGTTTGAAGATTTTAAAATTTAATTTTCACAATACTGAAAATGATAATGATTATGTAAAAACACCTGTCCGTGCGTATTTAGATGAGCTGTTCCCGAATCGTTGGATAGGGAGAAGGGGACCGATTGAGTGGCCAGCCAGATCGCCTGATTTGACCCCCCTAGATTATTTCTTGTGGGGATACTTAAAAAGCAAAATATACGTTACTAGACCGGTTAATTCAGAAGATTTAAAAGCAAGAATTCGTCACGAGATACATCGTATACCTCCTAAAGTTATTGATAATGTCCAAAAAGAATTTATTAATCGTCTTGGCTACTGTCAAGCAGCCAACGGTGCAAAATTTGAACATTTAATTTAGAACAACGATGACGTCACAAATATGGATCGTATGTCAAAAAGTGCCTTTTTTAAAAACAAAATCGAGGTGCCAGGGGATTTTTTCGAAAAATAATGAATTTATTCGTTACTTTTCGAAAGCCTGTATATAAAAATATTGGAAATCGGAGAGTTCGGGTTGGTGTAGTTTCCTTGTTAGATCCTTCTTCGTTTGATATAACCTAACAATAATTTTAGGGTAAATACTTACCTAAGTTACTTAAATTTTACAACTTACCTTCGATGTGCGTTTATAAAACCGGCAAGTAATAAATGTAAATTTAACAAGCCGTTCATTTTCATTAGACAAATAACACGTACTTTAAACTAGAGCAACACCAAATTCCTTGCCTTTAAGAAACTGTTATAATTTAAGATAACGTATGTCGTACCTACTTACTCGTTATTTACGAGTTTGCATTTGTTCATGTTTCATAACCTAAAAGACATCAGTCAGTTATATGTGTTTTTGTCTAATACTGACTCTTGTTTATAATAATTTTGCATAATTATTATTAAAAATGTCGACACAAAAGCGTCTTCAAAGCTAAAAATGGTCTTAATTCCTCAATAACGTGCACGTTATATCTTAACAGTTAACGTTAACCTTAACGTTTAACCCTGAAATAACATAACTGTTATTATGATAAAATGGGATACATACTCGGCCTGAATATATCTGTACGAGTGTTACTTTATTAGTTCTTGTCACAAGGCACTAAATAGCAGCTGCATATGTTTAAACCTGACGTTTTATTCTGAAGAGGGATGAGGGTACACAACACAAATCCGTAAAACTATTAGAACATTGTTACATCTTCAGAAGAAAGGTATCTAGGTAGCAGCTTCAAGAAGATGGATGATGTTATTCGATAGAGTGGACTGTATAAACACTTGTGCTGATTTCAATAATTTTCTTTATTTCCTGAATGTTGTACAACTACATAAATAGATTAATAGAATTTAGAAAAACATGTCATCATTTTAATTTGATTTTTCAACAACAACTCTTTTTTGTTTTCGTGTTGCTCTGCAACAGCCTCTATATAAACTTAGATCATACAAAACACTTTACCAGATGATATGCCCAATTTTTTCTGAGAACATTTTACAGTAACCCCTTAATACATACTTGCAAACATGGGTTCATCAATACGCTAGCTATACTCGATTCCTTACCTTTATAAGGTCTATGTGTCACATGGACTTTGTTTTTGAAGATTGTGTATAACACTCATTGATTTATGGCTTAAAGAACTTTCTGATATTTTAAAAGTAAATAAAATGTGTTAATATATAGTTCGTATCTTAACCATGTGTTTGTTTCTAAGAATATAGTATACTTTAAATAATACACAAACACTTTCATGTAATATATCACAACAAGCAAAAACTTACTTTCAATGCAGAAGTGTACTGTAATTTTTTGCGATTAAAAGCGCACCAACACGCCCTTGACATCCGATAAAATAAGGCGGATGATTGTTATAAGAGTGTTTATCAACCCTCTTAATTTTGCGAAGATAATAAGATTTATCTCATGATTTTTTATAGAAGAGGGTTTCAAATCTTTGTTCAAAGAACCTTCTAAAAGTAAAATTACTATAGTAGTAACTAAATAATAATGGTAACTAGACAATTAATGTTTGCAATAACAAACTAATATACTTATTATAAATATTTATAGGAGTCCATTTTGAAGTGTGCAAACTGGGACGAAAGCCTGAACCTAGCTTTGGAATTAATCAAACACAACACTCCTCTCGACGTGGATTACCAGAGACTAATTGCCAATGGAAGCTACAGGAGATCAAAAGCTATGAACACCTACACTCCCTCTTATAGCAAACTGAAATCGAACATAATACTAATCAAACCAACTTAAGCTAGTGTGGCGAATCTTCCTGAAGATTATGGATTATCAAAGTATTTCGAAAAACCTGTCGACGTCCATATAGTTGAAGGAAACTACCTCACAATCTTGGAGAACAAAGCAGTCACGGCAGTGATCAATACGTGTCTGCAGAACGTTACTAGTGATATATGAAAATATTGTTTGTTCATTAATAGTATAAATAAAATTATTGTATGTACGTGTTTTTTTAAATCAACCGTATATTTTTTCATTCAAAGAATAGTTTTCATGAATAAATTAAGACAAAAACTCCAGATGCTTGAATATGTCACTAAGAGCTTGACATTTCAGTGCATAAATATGGTATATATTTCACGCATTGATTGTTGGCCATTGTAAAAGACAGAAAATCAAAGTATAAAATAAATCGAATGTTACAGAAGCCGTTCTGCGTTTTTTTACGCCTCCAAAAAACAAGTAAACAACAGTGGCCCGTACAGAGGTAAAATGTAGTACATATGTAGAATTTAAAAAACAAATTGGATTTATAATAAATTACATTTGAAATAAATAGTTTATGAGAATAAAGGAATTTTTATAGGAACAGGGGTGCCAGACATGAACTGATCTCTTCATCCCTTCATAATGCATAAAGAAATTATTCAATTTCTAAACCCCTTAAAACCGCACTGCACTGGATCCCTTGACAGGCAATGATTTATTACTTTTCATCGAATATGATGATGAATATAGCGCCCTCTAATTTGATAAGATATTTGTTTACATGGAATTCGTGCTCCTTGTATAATATTCATGGGCCATGCTTTCATAGTAGGTATAGTCTTTCCGAAGTCAGTTGAACATATATAAACACGCCTAGCAATAAAATTTTATGAGTTTCACAGACATCCTTAAAAAAGTTTTCTACTAAAGGTAAAAATTATAATAATTTGTATATAATGTGCAGAAAATTTCTATTATTTGTTTATTTATTTATTTATTTAAAAAGTAGGAAACCCAACAGGATTAAAAATCCCAATAACAGGGTAACACTAAATATGTAACAAAAAACAAGGTGATGAAGTACAATATAAACATACCTCTAACTAATGTGACAATACAAAAAAGACAAAAAATTACCTATAAGAAATTATATATTTCCTCACAGAGGTTTTATATCTATTCAAAGAAATATTAAAGATATCAACTAGTTGACATAGATTGCTATTAAAATATCTTGGAATTCTATGAAACGGTGAATTTAAGTTATAATTATTATGCGAGAGATGAACATAGAAAACCGAGAACTGACGGTTAGCATACACCGGGGCTAAAAAATTTAACAGAGACAAAATATCTGTATCAAAATATCCATGAACAATTTTATATAACAAAACACAATCAAAACATTGTCTACGTTCTTCTAAACTAAGCAATTTATGTACATTAAGAGAGTTCTTAACAATTCGCGATTAAATCTATAAATAACATTGTTAATAAATTTGATTTGAACAAGCTCAATTCTGTTTATTGTATATTTAAAATATAAAGGAGACCAAATTACCGTATTATATTCTAATTGAGACCTAACTAAAGAAAAATAAAGACAAAACATACTGTTGTGGTTCTGTAATAGATAAATTGTTGAGGTAGCTAAGTAATGGTGTTTTTATAAAAAATCAGATATCTCTGAATTGAATTTAGAAAAACAAATAGATATGTACTTGACAACATAAAAAAAAAGATACGAAACTTCACATTGATCATAATTTCCCCAGTATTATAATAAAACGTACAACCTGATTTATATGACATATTAAAAAGATTTAGACTTTACAAATTTGTAATAATTTCGGATATAGAAAAGATGTATCGCCAAGTTAAAGTAAATCCTTCACAAAATTTTTTACAAAACATACTTTGGCGAGATAGTCAAGTTGAACCTATAAAATGTATCGAATTACAAACTATAACTTATGGAACTAATAGCGCGCCGTATTTAGCGACCCGAGTATTGAAAGAAATTGCCATTAAAGGTAAATCTAAATACCCATTGGCGGCTGATGCCCTGTTAAATCAGTTACGTAGATGATATTTTGTATGGAAGCGATAGTTATGAAAATTTGATGATTGTTTACAATCAATTAAATGAATTACTTAATCCCTCGAATTTTAAGTTACATAAGTGGTGCTCAAACTCAAGCGATTTCTAGAACAATATTTGTTCGCATAATTCACAATCCACATACACAATAAAAATAGATAATATGTCCAGTAAGGTATTAGGAATATCTTGGAATCCAAAACTAGATTCTTTCTCTTTTATATTTCCCTATAAAACACAAGAAAGTAATTTCACTAAAAGAGAGGTTTTATCAAAGTTATCACAAATGTTTGATCAACTAGGTCTGATAGGATCAATAGTAGTCACAGGAAAAATTATAATGCAAAGGATTTGGATAAGCAAAATAAATTGGGATGAACAATTAGATCCACAAACACTCATTCATTGGCGAAAATTTATAACAAATATGTCAGATTTAAATAATTTCAGAGTTCCTCGATATTTATTTAGTAATTATGACATTTTTACAATTGAATCGCATGGATTTGCAGATGCTAGCATCAAAGCTTATGCAGCTTGTATATATTTAAAGGTAGTTTACATAAATAATACAATTTCTTGCAACTTAATTTCTTCAAAATCAAGAATAGCACCAATTAAAACAATATCTCTGCCAAAGCTTGAATTATGCGCCATGGTACTTCTTGCAAAATTAACAAAAACAATATTGTCAATTTACCCTCCTAGGTTAAAGTTTGAATCGGTAAATTTATGGACAGATTCACAAATTTCCTTACACTGGATAAATTCACATGCCTCACCTTGGTCTACTTTTATAAGTAATAGAGTCTCAAATATACAAAATGTTACGTCAAATCACCGGTGGCGTCACATAAAATCTCTTGATAACCCTGCAGATTGTTTATCTCGTGGAATAACACCAAGTGAACTCATAAAATCAGATATATAGTGGCATGGTCCAAAGTTTTTGGATCAAATCAATTTAAATTTACATAATTTTGATTTTATTTGCACGTTAGAAAATCCTCCTGAAGAAAGAAAAACATTTTTAACAATCAATCGAAATTTGGCTTATGAATATTGGAATGACATATTTAATAGGTTCTCTTCATTTATTCGTTTACAAAGAACAAATGCCTATGATTTAAGATTTATTAATAACTCAAAACTGAGTTCAGAAAAAATATTTGTCTTACACTAGAAGAATTAGATAATTCGCTTTTTGTGATTGTGAAAATTCTGCAAGATAAATATTTTCCAAATGAAATTTCTGATCTTCAGTCTAACAAGACAATATCTAATAAAACTATTATTTCATTAAATCCATTTTTAGATAAATCTAAGATTCTACGTGTTGGTGGACGTTTAGCTCATGCAGAAATACCTTATACACAAAAATACCCGATTTTATTGCCATCAAAAGATCATGTAGTCGCACTATTGCTAAAAAGAGAACATATTAGACTCACATTTTGGCCCCTTGATGCATTAAGACAAATAAAGCGAATTATAAAAAATTGCATTACATGTTTTAGATTTAGAACTCGATCTTGTCAAAAAATTATGGCAAATTTACCAAAAGATAGAGTTCACATAGCGCGACCATTCCAAAGAATAGCAGTAGATTATGGTGGCCCATTTTTTATAAAATCCTCAAGATTACGCAAGGTACCAGTTACGAAATGTTACATTGTAATTTTTGTGCATGGTTACAAAGGCAGTTCATATTGAAGTAGTATCAAGTCTTTCTACTGAATCATATTTGTTAACTCTTAAAAGGTTTATTTCTCGAACAGGGAGTCTGACAATAATATACTGTGACAATGCTATGAATTATCTCGGATCTAAAAATCAATTAAGAGAATTATTTGAATTTTTTAAAAATAAACAAACAATAAACGCAATTCAAGAATTTTTAAGTCCAAATGAAATAACATTGAAATTTAATCCACTTCGGACTCAGTGTGCAAAATATCACTTATATCGCATAGTAGGTAATGTTAAATTTATATTTGAAGAATTCAGTACTGTATTAGCACAAGTGGAAGCTATATTAAATTCTAGACCGTTGTGTGCTACATCTAATGATCCCTCAGATTTAGATTGTTTAACTCCCGGACATTTTCTTATAGGTACAAGTCTTACTGCTTTTCCAGAAAAAGACAACAAATATTCCAGAAAATAGACTTTCTTTTTGGCAACAATGTGCTCACATTCAACAAATTTTTTGGAAAAGATGGTCTAGGGAATATCTTAATCGCTTACAAAATAAACCAAAATGGCTCATACCTTCAAAAAATTTAAAAGTCAACGATTTAGTTTTATTAAAGGAAGACAATATTCCACCTTTAAATTGGCCACGCGCAAGAATTATTGAAGTGATTCCCAGTGCTGATAATAGAGTGAGATTAGTAAAATTAAAAACAAAAGAAGGAATTTTTACAAGATCAATTTCTAAAATTTGCCTCTTTCCATATGTTAGGTTTTTGAAGATAAAACTTCAACGCGGGGGTGTATGTTGTGGTTCTGTAATAAATAAATTGTTGAGGTAGCTAAGTAACAGTGTTTTTATAAAAAAGCAGATATCTCTGAACTGAATTTAGAAAAACAGATATGTACTTGACAACATAAATAAAAAGATACGAAACTTCACATTGATCATAATTTCCCCAGTATTATAATAAAAAAGAAGATACAGTCCATTTACTTTCTCTTATGATGAACAGTTAAGCTGCATCACATACTTTTAATATTTTTAAAATCCTTGCTAAGTCTCAAAATGAAACCCAACATTCGAAACGCACGTCTAACTATATAATCTATATGAGCATCAAATACCAACTTATCACCCAAGATGACTCCGAGATCCTTAATACTATAAGCTTTGTCAACAATATTAGAACCAATAATAAAGTGACTGAAAAGTATGCCTATTTCTAGTGAA